GCTAGGACTGATTGTTTCCATTAATTTTGGTTTTCTTCTTTCTTCTTGACAAGGAGAGTCCCGTTGTTGCATCTAGATGGCAGCTTCCTAGCTTTTAAGATCCCAGTCGCTACTCGCCAAAGTAGTAGGTGGAAAGGACCATTGACTTTTGAGGGAGTCTTGGTGGCACAGTGATTAAGTGCTTGGCTGCTAACCACAGGGTTTGGCAGTTCAAACCCACCATCTGCTCTGCAGGAGAGAGATGTAGTAGGCTGCTCCTATAGAGATTATAGCCTTTAGAACCCTGTGGGGCAACTCTACTCTGTCCCACAAAGTCACTGGGAGTCCAGGTGGGTTCATTGACTTTCTGAGACAATGACTGTTTGTCACAGGGAACTGTATCTGTTCAAACGTTGGCCGTAGAAAAGTGTTTATAAACTTGTGTGTTGTACAAGGTTGATTTATGGTCCAACCTTGGGGTGATGATCACCTCTCTGAGCCAATTCTGATTAAATGGCTCTGCCACCTGCCTCAGAAATAGCACCAGAATAAAAAGCATCCACTGGTGTCAAAGGTTATTATTCAAGGAAAACAAAAAGTGATGCTAACAGTTCACTTTGCAACATAATGCAGAGCCTCAGTTTTCTGAGGCATCAACCTTTGCCTCTCTAAGTCTTCCTGCCTTCCTCCTGCCTCTCTCTCAGTGTCTGATTCACAGTGTATTAGTAGCTATCAATTGCTCTGTAACCAGTTACTTCAACAACACTCCGGCTTAAAATAACAAGAATGTGTTATCTCATACTTTGTGTGCCTCAGGAATCTGGCTGTAGCAGAGCTGGATTCTTCTGCCTCAGGGCCTCTTACAGGGCTGCAGTCACAGTGTCACCCAGGGCAATGGTCTCATCTGAAGGCTGAACAAGTGAAGTTGTTGACAGGATTGTTGGATGGTAGGGGGCGGCTCAGTCTGGTCCATCTAATTTATATTGACCTTTCCTCCCCTCTTCATCCTTCACATGGTCCGCACACACCCTGCTTCCGGCCCTGCTTCGTTCCTTGTGGCTTGTCTGTCACCCCCGTGAGAGCGAAAGCTCAGGAGGGCAGGGGCTCATCTGCTGGTCACCGTCTGTTGCCAGCCCCTTGCATGGTGCCTGGCTAACCGTGGACTCTCTGTGAATGCTTACTGAATCAATGAACGCCTCAAACACAGGCCTGGAACGATTGCATGGAGCTCTTTGGGAATTGTAAGATCTTCATGACTCCCCAAGAAAATGCCATTTATTCCATTAACATGCATAATAAATTAATTTATTTAAGAAAAGAAAACAGGCTCAAGATTGTGGGGTAGTTTTGCCCCCATTGGTGGGTCGTGAGGCAAGCCATGCCACCTCTCTGTGCCTCAGCTTCCTCAGAGGGTAAGTGAGGGGCTGCAGGCTCGAGATGCTGCTGTCAAAACCACTGTTTCCTGTTTTCAGCCTTGGTCTGCTGTGGGAGATTTTGTTCGAAGAAAGGATCCCATTGCCAAAACAAAAAAAGTTGGAAACCCACTCATGGCCAGGCCAGCTATTCAGAGGCAGGCCGCTGGTTGCAGGTCTTTCAAGATGTAAGGTCTGCAGGCCACAGAGCCTGGGCTCAGCAGAACCAGTGGGAGGAAGAGCAAGCCTAATAATCGTGGTTCAGGGAACCCCCTCTCCCGTTTCAGGAAGGAGAAGAACCTCCCCTACTATGCCTCCCCCAGCTTCATACCTCACGTGTACCCACATCCAGTTGCCTTGAAATACTAGCATCAGTTTTTTCCCCCCACGTTGACTAACTGATTTCAAGATTTCATTTCTGGCACTGCATTTCCCACCAGATAGCCAGATAGAGTTTCTGAGCTCTAAGTTTCATAATTAAAATCCCATCACATCCCCCTAAACAGTGCAGGTTGCGCCATTAAGCCTGGCATAAAAGATTTTAAACCACTCTACCTAGTAATTTAAATATAATACTTCTGGCTGCATTCACTCTCTGGTATTTTTAATTCTAATTAAGAAACTCTTACTGAACATTAATATCCTACATAGGATGTTCTGTTGTGGCTCTGTGCTGCGTTTTGGCCATCTCATTTTCAAACAAACAGCTTGGCTGCATGGCTGTAGCAGCCCACATGTTTTTTTTCCCTGGCCTTTGGGAATCACTGGGTCCCAGGCATAATTAGTATAAATCAAAATCCTCTAGACTATGACAGGAAAATGGTGTGTCTGAGCAGCAGCTTATTAAAATGACCTACTTAATTTGAGGAAAATGCTGTATCCGACTCACAGGGCACCTCGGTCCCCTTGGCTGCCGTAACAGAATCCACAGAGTGGGTGGCTTTAAAGGACAGACATTTATTTTCCCACAGTCCTGGAGGCTAGAAGTCTGCATTCAGGTTGTTGGCAGGGCCTCGATTTCCTCTGTGGGTGCTAGTCTGTTCAGTTCTTGGCGGTCCCCAGTGTCCCGTGGCATTGCTGGCCTTGAAGATGGAGCCTCACATGCTGTAGTTACCCTGTGTGTGACTCTGTCTCTATGACTGTTCTCCCCTTTTATAAGATGCCACTCAGAAGGGATGAGGACCAGGACCCACCCTATGAATAACATCTTTAAGGAAAGACTTTGTTTCCAAACCAGGTCAGACTCACAGGGACACAGGTTAGGACTGCACGTCTTTTGGGACACAATTCTATCTGTAACGTGGTGACCTGGCTGATTCCCTAACAGACTGTATAACTCTCTCTCTCTCTCCCTTTCTCCCTCTATCTTCCTTCCTCCCTTCTCTCCTTTCTTCCTCCTTCCCTCCCTCCCTTTTTTCTCATTTAAGAAAAGGAAAGGGAATGGAAAGGCCCATTCTACTTCATCCAAGGTGCAGACCCACAGTTTGGACTGATGAAGGCCTGGTCTACTGGGGACTGTGCCAGAGGTGGTGATGAATGGGAGCAGGAGATCCGTCTGACTGAACAAGCTGTCCGAGCCGTCAACAAGCTGAACCCCAAACCCAAGTTCTTTGTTCTGTGTGGTGACCTTGTTCATGCCATGCCAGGTAAGACCTGCGTTGTCTCTGTGACCTTTCCTTCTCCTTCACCTTCAGTCACTCCTGAGCACCTCTGGGCAGGAGAGAAGAAAAAAAAAAAGATGTAGCTGAAAAGAAGCCTCGATACAGTGATGGTGGGTCCCTTCTCTCCATGATGGTGCAGTGTCACTGAACTCGGAAATGCACACTCGTTTTATGTTTAGAATTTAGTGAGATTAATCACAGTAATTAGGCAGAGCTACAGGTCTGATGATCTGAGCTTAATGTGAAAAATGGCACAGATCCGCATGTGTCATCTTTCTTCGCTTCCAGGGGACAAACTCCATAAATGTAGTCTCTCTCACTTTCCTCTTCTTAGACTCTTATTTCTACTGTATTTGTTGGTGTTTTTTTTAGTTGCAAGTGACAGAACTCTAGCTTCACCTGGATTCAGTTTTGTATTTTTTTAGGTATATGTTGCCTCGTGGCCTGTAGATGCAGGGGTAGCCCTGAGCTTCTGAGGCTGGAGCCAGGACACAGTGTCCACCCTCAGCTCTGCTTTCCTGGGGGCTGGCTTGGTTTTCACGCAGGCTTTCTGTAGGTGTTGGCTCCTGGGAGTTGTAGCTTTATATCCTTCTTATAGCAACCACAACAGAAAGAAAGTACCTTATTCTAAGTGGGCCAAAGTCCCAAACCATCTTTACGCTGCCCCCCTTAAGTCATGGGGTAGGGTCAGCTCAACTGCATCTACGCGGTGTAAAGAGCACGAGAGGAAAAGTGCGATACTGGCGATGTCGGAATAAGAGACGCTTTCTAGAACTTTCTCCCTTTTATTCCTCCTTTTCTGACATTCTGTTCTCTCAGGCAATGGTAAAGCCCAGTAAGCAAGTAGAAGCAAGAGGAGATTGCCCTGGCCATTAGGGAGGTAGAGCTGGCCACCTTTGCCTCCATACCTGTGTCCCTCTGCTTAGTGGGACAGACATGACCTGAGGACCACTGCTGAAAACACTGCAGTAGCCGTAAATGTTCGTTACTGGCGAATGTTACTTTGTAAACCAAGACTGTGACCCCACCATGATGTTGTCTGGTTCCTTTAGAAACCAAGGTTCCCTGTCATGAGCCTGAGGTGGTGATACCTCCCCGTCCAGACTCACTTGTCTGGCAGTGTGCCCATTTGGAACAAAACCCCAAAATAAGATTTAAGAGTGGGAAAAGGGCAACCAGAATTGCTCCCCTAAAGTCCAGGGAAGGTAACCAGCAGAAAACCCTCAGACCTGCCTCATTGTCTGTCTACTTGTCTTTTACATGAAGTCATGAATGTGGACATGCTCATGCCCTTGACTCCCACCAGGTGGGAGGCAGTGATGCCGTCCCTGGTGAGCAGCCTGCCCTGGGGTGGGATCTGCACGAGAGTGGTGGGGCGGGGAGGAAGGGACAAGGCAAAGACAAAGACCTAAACTAGGACTCAGGAAACCAGAGTCAGCCCCACATCTGCCGCTGATGTACTGGGAAAACTTGCACAACCCATTACCCCCTGAGGGCCTCAGTTTCTAAGCCAAGAGTCCATCAAAGCAGCAAGAGTTTAAACCCTCACCAGTGTGGGGCTGCATAGCGCCGGAGCAGTTGCCTCTGTACCTTCATTCAGATGACGAACTTCTCAGCCGTTGAAGATAGAAACACATTCACAAGGATGGCTCTGAGTTTTGTTTGAGGAAAGGTCAGTTTTAGCTGCTTATAAAACTTGGCTACTCTTGGTAACTCTCCCCTAAGGGTTCCCAAGTGACGGGATTGTATGATATCAAAGCTGCTGATGGAGTTGTGTCTTAGCTGATGAAACAGACCTATGCTGCTTCCACGTGGTCTGACTTGCAGGTCGAAGGCCTCTTAGGAATCACGTGGCCCGTTCGACACTGTGGCATCAGCAGAGCGCAGTGAGGGAGCGTCTGCTTTTAGTGGACTCTTGAAAAGAGGATTCCAAATTCAACATTTTTTCTGCCCAGAGGTTCTTCAAAAAGAATGTTACGGAACTCGCTGGAATCATGTAAGGGGTTCTTATAGATGTTTAGCAACTTTTTCTGAGTTATGTAAATGTACTCAGTCATATTTCAAAATAAGATTTAAAATAAAAACTTTCCAAGTGTCTGCATTGCTTCTTGAATAAAATATACCAAGCATAAGTGAATTAAAGGATGTAATTTTATGAGCAACCCTACCACGTAGTCAGAAGACCTAAATGTGAACTGGCAAACCTTTAAATACCCATTTTATATACAATGCTCCCTGAGAAGAATCCCGTCTGCTCTGAAGACTCAGCCTTTTCTGTGGGGCTTTAACGAATCCAGTGAAAGGCCTGTACCTGTTCTGAATGCTGAGATTCAGCATAATGTTAAATAAGTTACCAGTGTTTCATACAGAGTATGTGGCTTCCCTCTCATTTAGCTCAGAGGCAGGGCAGACACTAGAAAAGTAATTATTTGCTTTGACTACTTAGCACATTGTTAATTATCAAATGTGCATTATTAATAGGCAAATAGAATCAGAAAGCTTACTTTTAATTCCACCATAAATAACATTTTGCGCCAAGTAGATTTAAGTGCAAAATGCAGAAAAATAACTGCTAAGAGTAATGCTTTTATAATGAAAGTCATAATAAAGCCTTTCCATTATAGATATTGATCATAATATTCATCCACACATACTTATTGTGTGCAAACTAAGTGTCCGTTGCAGTGCTACATGCTGTGAATTTAATAGTGGGAATGAAAAGCCATGTCTTTCCTTGTTGCTCAGAGTCTGGTTGGGCAAGAGCAATAACGTGGATGGTAAGGGGAGGTGGTGGTGCAGGGGTGGAGTCTTGCCTTCCATGAAGGAGACTTGGATTTGATGGCTGCCCGCCGTACCTGGTGTGCAGCCGCCACCAGTCACGGAAGCATGCGTGGTGCTGTGATGTTGGACAGGTTCCAGCAGTACTTCCAGACTGAGATGGACTAGGAGGAGAGCCCTGGTGATCTACTTCTGAGAGCTTCCTAATGACAACTGTGGAATCCCAGTGGTCTGATCTGCAAGTGATCATGGAGATGGCACCAGACCTTCCTTTATGCATGGGCTTGCCGTGGGTCAGGGGCCAACTGGACAGCAACTGGCAACAAGAAGGAGCAGAAGAAGCCATTGGTTGCAAGGATCATAGGAAAGAGTCTGAGGATGCAAACTGCTTTGTTTTGGACAAATCCCATTTAGTTTTGAGACATAGGTTTAATTTGCAAATATCTTTTTGGTTATTTTGGTATTTTTTTTTTATTAGACAGAACTGCTCTATGGGTTAAACCACATTAAAAATGGCAAATGAAGATTTGTACAAATATTGAGAGCAATTGATTTTCAGTGTTTGACTCTTGAGCCCAGGGGGCCTTTCTTTAGTCTCAATGACACTGAAGCATTGACCCATTGATACTGTCCCCAGGATCCTGGTTACATTTCAGTGATTACATATGAAACTGCTGAATCAGAGTGTGATGATAAGTCACAGTGCAAGAGATTCCACTGAACCTTTAAAATAGTGTGTGTTACTAATCCACTTGTACCCCTGCTTATTAAACCTTGCTGTAACCAAACAAACCATATCACATGGGACAGACTTTTCCCTTGAAGCTCTTTATGGATTGACCTCCACTTGGGGAACTGTTCCATGATTTAGTTTCAGTTGATGTATAGCCTCAGGAACTTGTCTGTTTATGAGGCAAACCTGCACTAGCATCATGTCAGTAGATGGTGTGTTAATTTCCAATTGCTGCTGTAACAAATTGCCACAATCGTGGCATAAAACAACACACATTTATTATTGTACGGTTTTGGAGATCACAAGTCTAAAATGGGTCTACAACGCTATAACCCTTCTATGGCTTCCAGCCCCTAGAGGCCTCCTGTATTCCTTGGCTTGTGGCCCCTTCCTACCTAACAAGCCAGGAGTGTAGCATCTTCTCCCTCCTCGGACCTCTGCTTCTGTTCTTACCATCTGTTACTGTGGCCTTCTTGCCTCCTCCTTGTAAGGACTCTTGTGATGCCATCGGGCCCACCTGGATCATCCAGGCTAATTCCTTCATCAAGATCTTTAACTTACTCACACCTGAAAATTCCCCTTTGCCAGGTACAGGCTTCAGGGATTAGGATGTGGACATATTTGAGGGCCACACTTCAACCCGTCCACAGGCTGCCATGGAAAGAAACAAAAGTCTGAGCTGTAATGGCTGCCTCACCTCTCCTTACAACCTTCTCATTATTCTTTCCTTTTTAACTGATGGGGAAATTGGCTCAGAGCAGTAACCTTTGCCCAAGGTTACTCAGCTTCTAAATGGTACAGCCAGGATGTAACTCAAGTGTATCTATTTTTAAACTCCATGCAATTTCCACTGCAGCCTTGCTACTCAAAGGGTGGTCCCCAGAACAACAGCAGCAGTGCCACTGGGAGCTTGTTAAAAATGCACAATCTTGGATGTCGTTGGGTACTGTCCAGTTGGTTCAGACTTATAGTGACTTCACATACGACAGAATAAAACTCTGCGTGGCCCTGCTCCGTCTCTACAGCGTTGCTTTGTTTGAGCCCGTATGTCAGTCCAGCTCACTAAGGTTCTTCCTCTTTTTTGCTGAATACTTTACCCAGCATGATATCCTTCTCTAGGCACTAGTCCCTTCTGAGAACATGTCCAAAGTATGAGGGACCATGTCTCACCATCCTTGCTTCTGAGAAGCATTCTGGCTGTACTTCCTCCAGGAGAGATTTGTTTGTTCTCTGACAGTTCGTGGTATTTTCAATATTCTTCACCAGCACCTTAATTCAACTGGTCATTTCTTTTGTGATCTTCCCTATTCATCGTCCAGCTCTCACATGCATGTGAAAACCAGAAACCAAACCGACTGCTGCTGAGTTGATTCTGATGCATAATGACCCCCACTGGGTTTCCTAGGCTGTATATCTCTACAGAAGTAGATTGCCTCATCTTCCTCCCAGGGAGCAATTGGTGGGTTTGAACCAC